AACTTCTTATACCAAAGACATCACAGATCCAGTCCCTATCCCTAACCTTTTTTTTTCCTACAAATAACAACTGGTTATCTATAGTATATTTAAAAAAAAATAGAAATAATGGTTGTTCTCCTCCCTTCCAATTTGCTCCATGGAGCAAGGAAATGGCGTCTTTTCCATGGTCCAAGAAGAATACATGAGCTCCAGGAACTACCTGATAGCCACCTCCCTCCCTAGCAAAGCTATTTTACCTTGCTGAAGCAAAGGACAGCAGCTCTTGTAGTGAACAAGAAGCATCCCATTGAAGTATTCCACTGATGTTCAGAATTAATCAGGCATGATTCCTTTATATTTTATTACAATGAATGATTGGGCAGCTAGGTAAGGCAGCAGATGGCGCACCAGGCCTGGAGTCAGAAAGACCTAAGTTCAAATCTAGCCCCAGACGCTTACTAGTTGTGTTACTCTGACCAAGTCACTTAACTCTGTTCACCTCAGCTCCTCATCTGTAAAATAAGGTAGAGAAGGAAATGGCAAACCACTCCAGTATCCAGGCCAAGAAAACCTTCAGATGGGGTCACAGAGTCGGAAACGAGAAACAATTGAACAACAGCAACACAATGAATTTATATACAAATATCTATAGATAATACTTCATAAACACATTACTCTAAAAAGAAGTATAAGTCAAAACTACCAGTCTAAAGATCCCAAGTAGGCTGATGTTCAAAGGGTAGGAGTACAAGTAGTATATAAGTGAACTTATTTTCTAACAACTCTTCCTTTGCTAAAATTAATTTCTCAATGTTTTGAATAAAAGGTTCTGGCTTAATTAGGGTCTCAGAATAAATGACAAATATTTTTATGCTTTCTTTTGATTATTTGCATTTTATAAGTATGTTTGAATCTTACAAATCTTTTATTTCCCAGCAAACCAATTTTTCAATGTTGTGACCCCTCTGATAAGCAAGAAAGCCTTGACAGCAAACCAATTATTAGTTTTCATAATAAAGGTCTGCATAAAGTCTAATTAATGAATTAGCTAATTGTTTTTCCCTGGTGTAGGCATTAGCATGGACACATGTAGGAGAGGAGGAAAATCACTCATAGAAGTTCATGTTAGAAACAAAAACAATTTAGGAAGTAACAGAAGTGATACTGGTGATGTAGGCCCCATGGTCAATTTTGGTTGTATCTTACAGATTTATTAGGAGGAGGATCTGGTTTGCACGTGACAGTACCTTGAAAAGTACAATGGATTGGACCTTCTTTTGTGCCCCTAGCTTGTGCCATTTGCATCTATACCAAGCAATTCCTATGAAGAAAGGAGACATCATCCCTGCTGCCAGCTTCCATCCCGCCTGCCAACCAATAACACACTAGGGGCAGGACAACTAGCCTAGCTGAAGCAGTAATACACCGTGAGAAAGAAACAGGAGGTGGCAAGTGCCAGGCAAGCCAAACCATCACTACCACCACCACTATCACATCAGACGTATTCTCTCCATCACTCCCCAGATCATCAGCCCTGCTTCCAGTCTGGTCTCTCCATAGCAATCACCAAGGTACAGAATCCTTGTGGAGAATAGGCCTACCATGCTCACCCCCACTGGTACCAAATACTAACCAAGTGCCACAAACATGCCCCAGGAACAGCAGTGCCACCTCTAGCCTCATCTCCAACCTTGTGCTCCCCAACTCTATTTTGGGACTACCTGTGAAGCCATCATCTAGGGACGCAATCATTATGGAGATGCTCCCTGGTAACTACCTCTGCAGGTACCATGGCCTCCTCAGCAGCCACAGCTCTTGAAAACCCAGAGTAGCAAGCATAAGTCCTTGGCACTATCAAACAGTTCAACATGAGAAACCTCTGAACTTAAATCTGAAATTTTTATATATGTTATCTCCTCCCTTTAAAACATGATTTCTTTGAGACTAGGAACCATCTTACTTTTCTATTTGTAACCCCAATGAGTAGCACAGTGTAAGCACTTAACTGTTTTTTCACTCATTCATTCTCCATCCCTACAACTCTCTGCTTCAACCTGAACAAGGGTTCCTTCCCTTTCTCCTGCCATCTCCTGCCCCACCCCAATACATACACAGACAAGTCGGCACCTCGCTTCTCTATGTTGGGAAGAGATAGAGAGACGAAGAGAGAAAGACAAAGAGAAACAGAGACATACAGAGAGACAGGGAAAGAGAGAGAAAGAGAGAGAGAGAGAGAGAGAGAGAGAGAGAGAGAAGAGAGAGAGAGAGAGAGAGAGAAAGAGAGAGAGAGGGAGATTAACTGTGTAGAGGAGGGGAGGGGAGAAGAAGGAAAAAGTGCACAAACTCACAAATTCTTTTTACTTGTCAAGCTTAAATCCATTTCATCATCACTCACCCCCCCCAAATTCTTTCAGTCTAGTTAAAGATAGAAAATGTAATGTAATAGAAAATAAAAGCAAAATTGCAGAGCCATAATATTTTTTTAAAAAGGTCTTTGGAAAAAATAGCTTTGGATTTATTTGTTTCCCCATGATTTGCCTTATTTGCCTTTAGTTACAAGGACCACATATATCTTTATTCTGACTATTCTTATTGCCATCACACTGGGTATTTATTCCCTTGATGTGAAAATCCATGTTCTTTCAATGAACCTCAGAGCTAAGATAACTTCTTTATTGTTAAGAATATCTTTTTTTAAAGTATCTCTTTGCCCCAATCCTTCCAGAATTAATATAGGAGCAGAGAATATAGTGCAGAGCCAGAAGAGATCTCAGGCATCACATAGCCCAAACCAAACTTTTTTTTACAAATGAAGAAACTGAGGTATTGGAAAGCATGCTGAATTTCGAATTCCAAAGCCTCAGTTTGAAACCTGACTCTTCCACTTGCTAACTGGATGTGACCTTGGACAGATCTCTTAACCTCCCTGAGTCAAAGGCCCTGCATCTGTAAAATGAGGCAATTTTCCTCTATGATTTCTAAAGTTCTTTCTAGTGCCTATGATACCTGGTGAAGTCATTTGCTTAGTGTCAGCTAGCTAGTGAATGTCTGAACTAGTACTAGAACATATGTGGCCTGACCTCCCAGTTCAGTGATTTTTCTTCTCTATCACACTTCATTTTTCTTCTCTATCTTACAAAACTGATAGGAGAGAAAGATAGAAGGTATGAGTCAGAGGTATAAATAGGAAGATGGAAAGGAGCACATCCCCACTCTGCATCTTGGTTAGGCTCTGCCTTGTTCCGTGGGGGCCCAGACCGTGCCTCATCTGAAAGGCAGGCCTCTGCCCTGAAAGAAGATCATGCTATCTTCTCAGGCACATAGACCACTTCCCTGGTATGACTGAACTATACCTGTCTATTTCAATTCAACAAATATTTAGAAAAGGCTGACAACTAGCAGAGCACTGTACCTATCCTATACTATGATCTCTTTGGACTCAGCTATGTGTGGCTTCTGAGAAGCCAACTAGTTAAATAGATAAGCTTGTCCATGGCAATGCTATGAGACTAAAGGAGAAAGCTGTCTTCTTCTTTGCATTCTATTAAAGCAGTTTTCTGAAAATAGTATCTCTTCCTTTGTTTGCAGTCCAACCCAGAAAAATAACTAATGTCCAACATTTGAGGCCCTGGTTGACTGGTAGATATAAAAAGTGGCCCAATAATAATAGCGATAATAATAAATAAAATTTATAGATATTTATAAAAGAGTGAAATGGTCAGAGTTCTGGGCTTGGAGCCAGGACCATCTGGGTTCAAATCCTGTCTCTGACACTTACCAGCCAAATGGCTTTGGACAAGTCACATGTGTTTGAGACAACTCTCTCAGACTCATTTGCCAAGGGATCTTTTGGGTGAAAGTAGTCTCCCCTCCCCCACTTGCCAAGGCGCTCTCTACCCCTTAGAAATCCCAGACATTTTTCTATTCGCATATAGAGTTTTACCGGATCCTATTATCATGAAATCAAAGAATCAGAGTTAGAAGAGGCTCTGGCATTTTACAGAGAAGGAAACTCAGGCCCAGAAAGGCATCCTGGCTTTATGTATGGAGTGTTATACATGGAATCACAAAGGCCTAGTTTCAGATCCCACCTCAGACACACACTAGCCATGTACCCCTGAATAAATTACTTAACCTGCTTGACCCTCAATTTCCTCAACTGTAAAAAGAAGATAATCATGGCACTTAGTTCAAAGTGTTATTTGGAATGATCTAATGAGCTAGTGTAAAGTGTTTTGTAAAACTTAAAAGTGCTGAATAACGAGCTATTGTTATATTTATCACAAATTCGTAAAACAGGTAGTGAAAACCTCACTAAGCCCATTTTACCAGCAATGAAACTCAGAGAAATGACTTTCCCAAGCTCACATAGCTAGTAAGTAAGCATAAATGGAGTTTTTTAGCCTCTAGAATTGCATAATGGGGAATTACTTACTTTGATCATGGCTGAGGTTGGCCCTGTAAAAAGGCCTTGATGTAAATCACCAGATGAAGGTTGGCAGCTTCTATTTTCCTCCTCTCTCTCCCACTTGGAAGTTAATAAAAGTGCCCCTTTTGAGGGAACTTAGGTTTTCAGTATGGAAATGAGTTCAATGAAATATGAGGGACATTCATGGTCCTCCTAGTCAAAGACTCCACTATTCCTCTTGTTTTCAACGTGAGCAGCATTATCTGATTAGTAACATATTTTGGAAAGGATTGCTTGAACTCAATCTGTTCCATATGTTCTCTGCCCACCAATTAAAGAGAAGCACAAAACATTAACCCCCTCAGTCTATGGAGATTTCCTATGTAATCCACTCAAGAGTCACAAAGTAAAATCCAGAAAAAGATTCCCATGTTCCTTTTCTCCTAATCAAAGACCTTCATCTTCTTGGTACAAGGTGAAATAAACATCACAAAACAACATATTATCAAAGTCCTATAGATAGGTACAGCCCATTAAGAAAGAAGGGCCAAGGGTTTGGGAAAGCTCCACTCTCTCATTTCTGAAATAAAATTGAAAGCCGAGTACTCACCGTATCATGAAACTTATCCTTGACATCATAGACTGTCAATTTGATATTGGTCTCCTCATAGATAGGGTATTCAGGTGGAAATGTCACACCAGTCAAAAACAGTGGGTTTCTTGTGCCCTGAGTAACACAAGCAGAAGGCCTGGATTCAGTTAGGTAACAGCTGCCTGCAGCTTAGCATGCAGTAATAGGTGAGAGGGCACCAAGAATGTTTAGGGCCTCCTTGCCCTCTCCCCTTCCCCCCAGGAAATACTTGCCATACAAGAAAAAGAAACCTAATTGGCCAAATGACACTCATGCACAGTGGCCTAATATTCAGTGCACAAGAAGTTAATCACACCAGAGAGAAGAGGTGTTTCTGGGATGCAGAGGAAGCTACTTGATAGTAATAAATGCCTTCACTAGGCCCTGTCATCATTTATCAGACCTGCTCATGCTGTGCCATGATAAACAATTTATTTGCTCTGTCTGGTGGAGTCCTTCCTGAGGGCTGGCTGTCATTCTGTTCAGAGCGCATTTAAGTGGAGTGGACACGACTTGCGCAAACAACTTAAGATGTTGGCTGATTAAAGCAAAAGAAAAAAAAAATGAACACTGCTCCCCCAGCAAACCTCTCTATGGCTTGTAGTACAAGATTGGTCGTTTGTTTTATTTTATCAGTGACTCATTTGTGACCATCATGCTCTGAGAAAGAGAGTTCATTTGTTTTTGCACATTCAGCTCTGCTTTTTGACCAGCCTGACTTGGAAACTAATAGGAGAAACCCTAAGTATAATGGAAAATATGATGGATTTTCTCCCATTAAAATACTAGTGCCCAGTGTATACATAAGATATTTTAATACCCCACAACTCATTTTTAAGATGTTGACAGGCAACATCAAATTGTTATTATTGTTGTTATCATTATTACTTTGAATGAATACCATAGTACAGCTTGATGGCATTCTGCAAACCGGGGGTTTTCTAGCTATATATATATAGCAATTTCAGCTAGCCAAAGTGCTCTGCCTAAAAATTAAAGTGTTGAAATACTTCACAACATTTAATTCTAGTTTTCCTGGTAAGGTTATTAAAGACAGAACTCTAAAGAGGCACAGGAAGTGACTTGAAACATATTTTTCCATCTAAAACAACCTATTTTGCTATTTTTGTAAAATTTTCTTTGGATGACTAAGTCTTTGTAGTAAATACCCTCAATAACAGAGTTAAATCAGAATTCCCTCAGCCACCAGAACCCAAAGTTTCCACAGGGCAGACTTCGGGCCCGTGTGTAGAATATGGGTCATGGCTATTAGAGAAAATGGGTCTAACTCTGTCTGAATCACTTGTTCCTGAACCACAGTAAGACAGGCAGTCTGTCTTGAACCATCCTGCTCAGAGGCCAGCAGCCAAAGGATGACTTCTGGTTCAAATTACAACAAAGTAGTCTGGAGCCAAATTTTAAAAAAGCAGATTTGCGGAAGTGAGGAGGATACTTTCCCCTCCATTAGACAGACTGATTAATTAACAGTCTTGCCTTCATTAACATTGCAAACTAACTGGCATTGATAGTAAATACAATCAAAGAGAAATATTTCCTGCTTTAATGTGAGCTAAAGCAATAATTACTTCCAACAGTTTGGTTACTTCATATAAAAGCTACGGTAAATATAAAGTGCTCTGTTTCAAAATTACAGTGGAATACCTAACAAGTAAGAACACCTTTCCTCCCTAGTGAACTCAGATCATAGTTTATTAATGCCAAAGTATATCTCAGTATTTGAAACTCATTTATACCATTCTCCTACCCTCCAACCTCTTCCGTTTGCTCTCTAAACAATAAAGAACATCATTTCCACAAAGAATGAGAATGAAAAGGAAACATTAGACAGGTAAGTAGGCATAGGACACAAAACTTTCAACTTTGTCCAAAGTAGAGGGGAGGAGGAGAAGGGGAAGGATTAATGAAAGGGAGAGATCAGAAATGTTTGTAAAATAAATGATTGAAAAAATACCCAAGCATTCCCACTATTTTAAGCCATAATCCATGTTCTGGTACTTTACTGGAAAACTCTCTGTCTCTGTTAGTGAAAATATACCAGAGTCTGAAGTGGCAACTTTGTTTCATGTCTCCTGTCAGAAAGACAGACTTTTCATGAAAAGGCAAGTTTCATTTCCAGTTGTTTACCTTGTTCAGTTGCCAATAAGCACCTAATATCCTCAGGTACGCCAGGCTTAATGGTAAGCTTGGTCGTGTAGCTAAATGTTAAAGCCTGGGGCTTAATTCATCTCAGCTGATGTCTGAAACCCTAAGGACAAAGCACATGGTCACCACTAACTGACCACAGGAACAGGCAGCACACTCACCTCAACAGTCTCGGTGCTGGAATACCTTGTCACACTCTGCTCTTCTGGGTGGATTACTGAGATCTGAACCAGGGTGTTCAGCTTGCAGTCCCGGGCAGGCGCCCCCAGATCCTTGCATGCTGGGCCCGGCACATGGAGAAGAGAGCAAAGAAAAGAAAAGAAGAACAAAACTCACACCACGTTCTCCGGGAAAACTCTGCCCCAGGATGAAGGCAGACTTCACTATGGCTCTGGATTAAAACCTCCAGAGGCTCGAGCCGACTTTGCAGAGGAAGTCCCTTGGAAGTACCTTACAGAAATAGGAAGTCACATGCTGCCGAGCTGAATTGAGATCTCATTTCCACTAACCACATTTGCAGCTCATGCAAGTCTTGGCTGCCTGGGGAGAAACAGTTCTGATGTGTGACTCCACACAGGCTCTGTGTTGGTGGATAACTTCACAGCTTCTCCTTCAGTTTTAGCTAATTAACCATGAAATCCCATGCTTTACTTCTTACTCAGTCATCCCTTTGAAAAAAAAAAACAGGGAAGCTTTGTGCTAGATTGGAGTGGTTTTCATATCGCTAAAAATCGGACACGGATACAGTGGATCCTATGTGGTGACAAGACACCATTGACTTCTTGGAGTCTTAACTACCAAATAGGAGAAATCAAGATCTTATTCCTTCTCCCTAGAGACTGGCAGCTGACAAGAAAACAGACTGCTCTGAATTGGGTACCCCACTAGAGAAAGTGGCAATCACTATAGGAAGAGCAAATCTATAGGACTTGATAATATTTTTGATCCCTCTTAGCTCCAAAACCTAGGATTCTTTGCTTTTAAGTTTGAACTTTCTTAACTTTCTCTTAATAGAAAAAAAAAAGTTCAGTATAAGCTCCTTAAGGGAAGGAATTTTTCCCCCTTTGTTTCTGTCATACCTAGAAATTTTTCCCTTTCAGGATCCAAACAAGTCCCAAAACAGGAAGGCTGATTATTAATTTCTGACCAGGTAACCCAAATGGCTAACATCCTCTAATGACAGAATTTGTATTATACACAATGGCATGTATATATATGTACTTCTTTCTCATATCTTCTCCCTCATTTTCAGAAGAAAATTAAGAAAAATGGTGGGTTTTTTCCCCCATATCATTTTCCTGTCTTTCCATGGATACCGATTTCTTTTTTCTTTTCTTTCCTTTTCACTTTGAAACAGCAGCTGCACTGTCAGAAGACTTTTCTCTTAATGGAATACAGTCTGTCCTTGTCAAGGCAGGGTTAAGGGGTTTTTGTTTGCTTTTTTGTTTGTTTTTTACAGCTATTAAGTGTCTGAGGCCAGATTTAAACTCAAGAAGATGAGTCTCCCTGACTCCAGGTCCTGCATTCCATCCACTGCACCACTCACCTATGCTATGATCAACTTTAATAGACTTAGCTCTTCTCAGCAATAAAATGATCTAAGACAATTCCAAAAGACTCATGATGGAAAATGCTATCTATATCCAGGGAAAGAACTACAGGCTGAATGCAGATTGAAATGTAAACTTTCTCTTCTTTTTTCTCCTGGTTTCCCCCTTTTGCTAGATTCTTCTTTCACCACAGGCTTTAAGTCTCCTTGTTCCCGGCTGGCATGGGAAGAGGGGAGAGAATGAGAATGATTCAGATCCCACTCCTCTTGCTCCAGCCAGCTGCTTTTAATTCCTCCATCACCTTGCTCCCATTTTCCCTGTGCCAGCCACACAAGGGATTTTAGTCTCACTAGAGTACTATGTCCAGGAACAGATGCCACTAAAGGACTTTTATTCTCAACTCATGTATATGTATATGTATATGTATATGTATATGTATATGTATATGTATATGTATATGTATATGTATATGTATATGTATATGTATATGTATATGTATATGTATATGTATATGTATATGTATATGTATATGTATGTATGTATGTATGTATTTTTGACTCCATGAGAAGAATACATAAGCAGTGAGCTGAAGATATAAAACCTTCCCAGTCCCCTAATACACACTGAGCAGCTATCATATTCAAGGCATCGCTCTAGGTACAACAGAAACAAAAGAGAAAAAAAATCCTTCTCTTAAGGCACTCATATTCAACTAGACTTTTTTTAATCAAAGTTAAGAAAATACAAACTTAAAATCAAAGAATTTTAGGTCTTGGAGTTAAAAGGGATCATCAATGCCATCTTGTCCAAACCCTTCCTTTTATAGATGAGTAAACTGAACCCCAAAGAGTTGAAGCAGCTCATGGCAGGTGACACAGGTATGGGGCTGAAATTTAAGCCTAGATTTCTATGATTGCAAAACCACTGCTATATCCACTTCACTACCCTGCCTTTCCATGACCAGCAAATCCTCCCTCTTATATCTTTCTCCAGTTCTCACAAAAGACAGACTAGTGACGATGGTTTGCCTAGGGAAGATTTAAGCAGGTCTTGGCAATAGTCCAATATTTGAAGAGATCTCACTAGTAAAAAAAAAAAAGGAAGAATATACTATTTGTTCTGTATAACCCCAAAGAGCAGAAGAAGGAGCCTTGAGTGGAAGTTACAAAGTGGCAAACTTAGGCATCATATCAGGAAAAACTTCCCCATAATTAAAGCTACCCCAGAGTAGAATGGGTTAGTTCTGGAGAGTTTTAAGTAAACACTAGATGACTATTTGTTAGGTATGTTATAGAGGGGCATTCTTGTTCAGGTTATGGTGGACTGCACAGTCCCTAAGGTCCCTTCTAGATCTGAAATTCTGTGACTCTATAATAAGTTATGCAGCAGTAGTCTTTCATCCAACAAAAAAAAAATGCGGTGGCATATCCAAGAACCAATGAAATCCTTCCCCCTCCTTTTTTTTTTTATCATAAATACTACTTCAGGTCATATGTTTTTATCAAGAGACAGAAAGTTAAGCAGGTAGTATAGAATCCTATGGGGAGCATATTCCCACCCAAATCCATTCTTCCTCTAAACTCAGAAAACTACTTTCTCTGTTCCAAGCTTTGTTCCAACGGAACAGCAACCTTGCTAAGGTCATTACAGAGTTCCTTTAATGTTTGGTTCAAGAAAACTATAATATTTTGAAAATATTGAAACAAATAGTCATTGCATCATTCAACATACTCAAATCTTTCCAAGTGATTTGTCTTTACAAGATTGTTCCTTATTGTGTAAATGATTCTGCTCACTTCACTCTGCATCAGTTCATATGAGTTTCCCTGAGTTTCTCTAAAACTATTCCTTTTATTATATCTTATGTCATAATAGTATTCAATTACTACCATAATTTATTTGGCCATCCCCATGATTCCACAGGACCAATAATGAAAAATACTACCCCCTCCTAACAGAAAGGTTATGGATTCAAGATAAAGAATGAAACTTTTGGCTGTAGCCAACATGGAAATTTGTTTTGCTTAACTATACACATTTGTTACAAGGGTTTTGTTCTTCCGGTGGTTGTGGGTGGGAGGAAGAGCAACTAAATTCTTGCTAATTGAAAACAAACACTGTTTTTCAATTTTTCAAATGAAATGACCTCAAAAAACAGCAACAGCTCAAGATTTATAAAGCATTTCCCTTACAAAACCTCCATGAGGTAGGCAGTACAAGTATTAGTACTCTCATTTTACCGGGTTAAATAACACACCAGGTTCCTAGTGACTGTCAGAGTCCAGACTAAAACTCAAGCCTTCTGACTTCCAGACTAGATTTCTTGCTACCACAACACTCTTAAGTATGCATTCATGATTGTTTTGATGATTTCCTTTCACTCAACAAGAATGTTACCTCCCAACTATCTTGGCTTCCTACTCACAGCTAACTTCTCTCTCCTTTTGCTGAAAATGCTGTCTTTTGACTTTGTGAGTAACATGCCTGCCTTTGTTGCCATCTGTGTGGACTCTTCCTGTGTGTAGCTCTCCTCTTTAGGCTATCATGGCACCTTCATTCAAAATGAGCCACATCAGTTCTGATGTTACATCATGTAGGGGTGGGAAGAGTGGTTCTTCCCCAGAAGGAAGGAGTCAAGTTCTATCAGGAAGACCAATATGAAGACTCCCTTCACATCCTCAAAGTGGAGTCAATCTCTACTCTCTGGAAACACAGTACATATGCCCAATTAAAGTGCAAATAGAAATATAAACACATGCTTTATAAATTGACCAACTTAGGCAAAGAATCTAAGGGAAAAGTATCCAAATTTTGTGCTACATGTCATGGTCAAATGTTCATCACTCATAACAACTCTTGTTTAAACCATCCAGTTGGAAACTTCGAAAAATAGAATCTCAGAGGTAGAAAAGATTCTAGAAGTTATATGGTCTAGTCCCTATGTGAAGCATGAATACCCTTTTCAACATCTTTATGACAAAGAGTTATTAGTCTTTACTTAAATACCTCTGACAAAGATGGATTCACTACTCTCTTGAATAACCTATTTCATATATGGGCAGCCATAGTTTTTTTGGAAGGTCTTCCTTATGTTGAATTGAAATTGACCTCCTTGTAACTTCAACCCATAATTCCCTAGTTATTTCCCCTTGAATCAAGCAGAATAATCTTAACTCTTCTCTATGCATTAACCCCTGAAATATCTGAGACCTAAGAACATATTCTCAGTAAGATTTTTGTTAGAGAGGCTGAATCCCTCGAGTACTTTGTCTACCAATAATTATATCCAACTTATCATGTCATAGGATTCTCTACTGCACTGTTCCCTAATTGGTTCATATGTATGTTATTTGGCTTCCCTAATATATGATCAACCTTTTTGTTAGCAAAGATAGTTTCTTTTAATATCTTTTAATATCTTCTCTCCCTCCATCCCACCCTGTCCACTCATACTTGCTATGGACAAACAGTAAATTTCACTGGTTGAAATAAACAAGGTGAATTAATGACATTACTACTGTTTAGCCTCATAAGTAAGAGCTAGAAGCAGTAGTTTTGTTGCCTTTAAGATGACTCACAGCAAAACACTCACTGTATTTTAGAAGGCCCTTATTTAGTCTTCTTAACACATATAGACACAGAGCAATAGCACCTTTGGATCTACTACAGCCACCATTTCAACTTCTTGGTGTAATGGTGTGCCTCAGTGAGATTTCAGCAAGGTCTAAAG